AATCGGGCCACGGGTTACCGAGTTAGCGCCGTTTTTCGGGTCACTTTTATGAAAATTTCTAGCACGAGTAATTTTACATCACACAAACGTTCGCCCTCTTTACGAAACTTCTTCGTTCAAATCTATTTTCCTGTTAATGTTCCCATCTTCATTAAAAGGCGTAAGATGACAAAAAACAAGATCTTGAAGAATTTTTCAATAATGTGCCTTGGTTATGGTAGGTAATTCGAAGAAAAATAAAGTGTTACTGTTTCTTATTTGTAGAAGGTTTAAGAGGAAAGACCACAACATAATGAACTAACTCATCACGATACCTGAAAACTGACTTCACTTTTTTGAAAAATTAAATGGTCTTTACTTTTACTCTAGATCAACAATCAAATATCTTTTCTTGAATTATGGATTGAAATATTTAATTAAATTATCTCAAAATAAACCATTTCAATGCAAGATTGCAATTAGCTTGAATTGTTCATAACCTCTGAATAGTGGGTGACCCAACGGGTCACGGGTTGTAGGTTAAAACTAAATAATTTATATGACAGGTTTTTGTAACATACTTTTGTGTAAGCCTAATCTTGAGAAAAACGAGTATTATGGTTATCTGTTTAAAGAAAATTCATTTATGTCGACATTCAATTTTTTTATTTATGTTAAGTCTTATTTCACGCTTATTCAGTTATTGTCAGTCTTATATAAAAAAAATAATAAATTTTCAAAAATTTAAAAAATGGAGAAACCAATGCTAAATTAGGAACCTACTGAACTGAGTAATTAATTCAAACATACAATTATAGCAATTTTACAGTAGACAAGTTTTGATTTTAATTAGTACAACATTTCGACTCGTAGTATCGAGTTATCATCAGAAAAAAGTAGTATTTTTTTAGTTGTTTGAATGTAAGTTTTACCTGATGATGGCCCGATACTATGGGTAGAAACGTAATAATTAAAATCAAAACTTGTCTACTGTAAAAGTTGCTGTTGTTGTATTTTTGAATTAAAAAAAAAAGATAATGCTCATACTTAAACGTTAGTTACACTTCTAAGTTAGGCATTATTTACTGATTTAGTTAGTGTTAACACAATAACCGTGGTACTAGTTATTGTAACAACGTAGAGAAAGCAATAGTATTAACTGTCAGATTTAGGTTGTCTCACTTATTATTGTCATGTTTTCATTCCACTAGAAAATACGTTTCGGCAAAGTCAAAGACGAAAACTTAAAAATAAAAATTTAAGCTGGGCTACCTTCCTACAACGACCACACCCAAACAGGCTAGCAAAAGCACAGCGTCAGCCCGAAGACACTGTCTGCCCTTCCGCCATCTTTAGAAAGCTGACACCGAACGTTCCTCAAGAATTTTTTTTATC